CTAGAGTATATAGCCCTCGATTAGCTTTACGCAAAAGTCAACAAACAAACGATTCTATATTTTCACAATTTTCTTCTGAAGTTTTCGGAACAGATTCGATAGTTGCTGGAGTAACGTTAGAAAACATGTCGCTGCAGGAACGGTTTATTTTTATCGTTTTTCTTTCATTTTTGAATATTATTATTGAAGATTAATAAATATGTCAAATGACATGCAAAATTGCCGTTAAAAGTAATAGGCTTTTTAAACTCAATGACGCCTACTTAAAAAGTTATCCATAAATTAGTGTCAGGATGAAATATTGGGTGTGCAAAACGTGCTCTTGATTATAGTGTAGTGTTTTGTCTAATTAAAAAAAGTTTATAACTCTCAATCAGTGGCATAACTTGACTGAAACCATGAAGTGTAACAAAAAATTAATAAACGTCATCAAGTCCTAAATATCAGAATTTTCGTTTATTCTTTATAGTGCACTTAATAGTGCCACTTAATTAGGTGATATTATTCTAATTAAACATCTACAGGGGCAGATCTAGGAGGGGGAAGGGTTTCTATTAGTCTATACACATTATTGCTTCTAATTTCCAAAATCATCTGTACAGAACGAATAAAGGATGAAGAACTAGACAAACGTCGACATCTGTCGGGTAATGTGTAAACTAAAAGAAAATATTAAAAATTTGTAAAAAGTGCAAATCATACTAGTTTACTACAAGTTAAGTTTTTAAGTCACGAGTATAGTGTGGGTGTTTATGTTGATTGCACAATCAATTTTACTACCCTGTTAGTCGCAGAAAAGAAATATTTGCTAGATTTTAAAAAAGTCATTTTGACTGCTGTTAAAGGAGTTAGTCTTCGTATTTGCCTTAATATCAACGTTTTGCAATATCTTTTGTAGTTGGGAGAAATAGTTACGATATCTTCTCGCATATGTAAAAGTAGTTTGGTTAAGTTTAAACAACAGAAAGTGTATAGTACACTTGACATCAGATACTGGCCCGGCAATCTACGGGTCGCGGGTTCGAATCCCCGTCACACTAAACATGCTCGCCCTTTCAGCCGTGGGGGACGTTATAACGTGACAGTCAATCCCACTATTCGTTGGTAAAAGAGTAGCCCAAGAGTTGGTGGTGATGACTAGCTTCCTTCCCTCTAGTCTTACACTGCTAAATTATAGACGGCTAGCGCAGATAGCCCTCGTGTAGCTTTGCGCGAAATTCATAACAAACAAACAGACATCAGATACTAGCGTACAAATCTACCTAGTTGTTTAAGTCTGCTTTTGTAAATTTAAGGAGTTTAATAATTCTAGTTATGTTTGATTTTGTTCCACTCCCTCTTTCCATAGTTTTTTATATGAAAAATTATTACTGAAAACCTCGTCACCCAATAACTCAGCGATAACTCTCTATTTTTAACATGATTCAATATTAACCAGAGTTAAAAGTGTTAATGTGCTGTAAATTTTCACTCTTACAAACGTCATAAAGGCAGTACAAACATCATGACATGAGCAGAAAATATGCGTTACTGTCATTATGTAACGTGTTGACCTTCATAATACAAAACGGTCTCATACTTTTAATGTGTCTAGTAGTAAACTTTCCCGAAACGTGAATCCGAGGACTTAGGGTTCGCAACACGTCGTCGCAAAAAATAGGATCCGTACCTTGGGGCCGTGGGTGCTATAAGTTAAATTCCACATTGCGGTCAAACAAGAGTAGCACAACAGTTGGTAGTGGGTGCTGTTGACTTGCAGGTGCCTTTCATCTGGTCTGTTAATTCAAAATTAGCGACAGCTAAACGCATATAGGTCTTGTACAGGTTTACACAAAATATCACAAACTAATATTTGAAGTACAATAACTTTCTATAGAGAATGGTAATGTCAACCTTATTATAAATTGTAGGCAGTGGAAACTGAATTTAAACTAGTAAAGTAACGAGCCCCCTCAGTGGCACAGGCTAGGACTGCAAACTTGTAACGCTAAAAACCGAGTTTCGATACCCGTGATGGACAAATAACTTTGAACCTAACCTCTTAAGTTTCCCCATGAAGTTAAAATACTGTGAGAGCTTGGGAAATAAAACTAAAACAAAAAAAAAGAGCAGTGACTTGCATTTATGTGCAAAAGTACTATATTTCTTTAAAATATTCCTAAGTCGTTATTTTTTGTAATTTGTTTTGTTTTTTATTTGTTCGTCATGAGAACTTTATGATAAAAGAAACTTTTAAGCCTCAAAAATGTGTTTGAATTCTTTTTTTCAAGTTTTTAATCCTTTTAACAGTCACATCTTTCGGTTTATTAAAAGTTGTTAAGCCTACGTACTTGTCAAAAACTAAGAATATCTTGTCTAAACATAGCGCACATATAACCAACTTTCAATATTATTGCCTCAAAATATGATTAATGACTTACTTCCTCACAGAGTGCGCTCTTTCAGTAATCGGCTTACACAGCCATTAGTTGTATAAAGATGCCAATAAAAAATTATGGATTGCGGGGAGTAATATTAACATATATATGTTTTTGTACTATTATTACTACTGTACATATCATACAAAAACAAAGTCTAAGTCAACATTATGCGAGCTACGTGCTAAAGTCCGTGTTCGTACTGAAAATTTGAGTAAATAAAAATATTTCTTACAAATCCTTAATTATATCAATCTACAAGCTCTCCCTCTTAGGTGCGATTCGGAACCCCGTGTGTTTATATACCACAAAAGGTATTTAATCAACTAAGTGTAATCCATCATGTAATGAAAATTAGGTTTAATCATGAACGTCAAGATTTTCATAAATTCCTGATTAAAACTTTTAACAAAAGCTGGATAAAAAGTAATGGAGACATGAAAATGCAAACACGTAACACACACACACATAGATACACAAATTAATGCTGCTTGAAATTATGTATGCCAGAAGTTTATACAGTAATAGTGCCTGAACAATAGTTATCAAGAAACACATTAATGGGCTTAAAATGTGTATAATTAAAAAACAACACTCATGATAAAGATGAAGAGGGTTGGATATCGAACATTTGAATACATCCGGTTCTCCATTATTTGATTATATATGTTTATTATGTACAGGTATTTCTCATATCCGCTGTGTATTTGTACGTGTGCCCATATAAATGTAAACGTAAACCCGATACGTTGTTTCTTAACAAAGGTCTGTCACGTTCTATTTAACAGGTTTAATTTACTGCATGCTCATGGTATGGTTGTATCCGTCTAGCTCCATTGGTGGAAGATAAAAACTAAAATAGATCATTTGAAGTTCATTGTCTGTAGACAAGCATGATTCCCA